GCCCTCAGGGGCCTGTCTGCAGTTTTCTGGTATGATAAGGGCTAGGACAGAAGGACGCACACAGCCCTAGGGTCAGGGGATCAGGAAGGGCTTCCAGGAGGGGTTGGAGCCGGAATGGAGAATGGAAGGGTGAGTAAGAATTGGCCGAAAGAAAGAAGGTGGGATGGCATGCCAGGAAAGACAGTGTGACAGTGTAGATGACAAGACTGAGCATGGTGGGAAGTGGAACCTGAGAGGTGGGTGGGAACCGTGGGGGATTGGGAGCTAAGAAAGTTTCAAGAGGGGAGGAGACTGGGCCAGATTTGTGTTTGGTGGCAGACAGAGGAGACTATATAGGGAGACCAACAGGGGCTGAGGCTGAGGGTGAAAGATGAGCATACTTGAGTCAGGATGATGGGAAAAGGGCAGGAAAGGGCGCAGGAGGCAGACTTGCCTGGCATGGGGGCTAACTGGCCATGGGGAGTGAGGGAGAAAGGTGGAGTCTGGGGCAATTTGCCCCTGGGAGTTCTGGGTAAGGGGACCTGGAGCTTAGTGGTGCTGGTCACCAAGATGGAACGACTTAGGGTTGGATATTGATGGGCTCAGTATTGGACAGACTGAAATGGTGTGACTTGTGGTGTTCCATGGGCTATGATGAAGTGTGACCACTGTCCAGCGAGAGGAAGCATTGAGGTGACTCCACATGGAGGTGGAGCAGAGCATGGGACAGGGAATGGGGGCAGACTGGGAGGCACTGTCAAAGCCCTGGGGCTTGGTTTAGGCTCAGAGCACAGGGTCCTGGGGATGGAAAGGAAACATAAGATCAGGTCCCAAAGCAAAGCTCAAATAGGAAAATGGGCTCAGTGCCTGTGTGGGGGAGGGGGAATGAGGGCTGCTGCAGTGGCATCTTCCTGGGTGGCAGGCAGCATTGAAGACAGGTTGGTTAGTTATGTTCAGAGGTGGGCATGGGGTAGGGACATCCTCCTGAAAACCCCTCCATACCATTGTGACATAATTTCCTGAAGGCACTTAGCACTTGTTTTCTCAAAGGACCCTAAATTAAGGATTTCATGGCTCAGCCAAGTCATGGAGCCAAACACTTAGTTAAAGCTGCTGTGGGAGCAGCCCATGAGCCTAGTAGAGCAGGGCCAAGTTAGCTGCTCCTTCCCATCTGAGAGTGGACCTCTTCTTATCAGGAAGGGACCTGGAGAGGAACAGATCTGTCCCCAAGGCTGGGGGTGAGTTTCCCATTCTGGACCCTTCAGGAGAGCTCAGCTGGGGAAGGTGAGGGGAGAAGACGAAGAGACGTTGCTGAATGATGCCCAAAGATGACGCCAGTTCCCTCCCATCCTGAGGCTGTTGAGGAGGGCACCCTCACTCCCTAGGCAGTCAAGGATCAGCTCTGCAACTCCCAAATTCTATGCTCCTGGACCATCCTTCCAGGAGGATCCTGAAAGGTATGGACATCTCCTGCCAAGCTAGTTTCTGGGTGGAGTGATCTGTAGCCCATACAACCCTGCTCACCCATCACTGACGAGTGTGGGGTGGGGATGGGCAGTGGCGTGAGGTCACTCACCAAACAGAAGACATACATAATGCTCAGGACATGGGGGTCCTAAGAGGCAGCCAGACTTCCCAGAACCTCAGGTGCCTGCAGATGGACAAGGTTTTGAATTCCATCCGAAAGCCCCGGAGCCTTCTTTCCTTGTCTCGGCCTACCTTCTTGGTTGTTTTTGGCCACGTTTTGATTTGGGAAGCCATTTACAGCCCATTAAAAGATCAAATGTCTGGAGATGATGAATCGTGGCATTTGAAAATGTTTTAGAATTCACAGCTCATTTCCCTATAGAAAGCCCTGACCCAGTGTGATTCAGAGATGGCTGGATGGTCTGTTTGTTCCAGACAGCTGGGGGCAGATCTCGGGGTGGAGTTCTATCCTTGGTTTGGACAGTAGTTCATCCTGAAGAGACTCACACTAAGATGGTGCTGATGCTCCCTGGTAGAAATGAAGGAAGAGCTCAGGCTTTGACATCTCACACAAGTTCCAGACCCAGTTTCCCTGAGTAACTGGCAGATACAGAAATCTAGGTTTGTAGGTGGGACCCTGCTGGTCCCCTGGGCAGATAGGCTGGATCCCCTCCCCAGTTCAGGCTCAGGTTTTAGCTATGGGAAGCGAGGTTTAACCTCCCAGTACTTCTTTTCCAAGCTGCAAAATAGGAAGGACAAACCTTAGGCTCTTATAAACATGGTGGGGTTTCAGTAGCCAGCTAATCAATAATGAAACCTTGCCTTTTGTAGTGATGCGCGATTTACATACCACTAACCTAGATGTGCTCGTTTAGAACTCACACCTTGAAAGGTAGAATTTTTCATTTAACTGAGGTTCAGAGAAGGGACATAACTTTGCTCAAGTCACACAGAATGTTGATGATGGAACCAGGTTTTGAACGAAGTCTCCTGGTGCCTTTGGGGAGAGGGAACAACTTTTGACTACTTTTGCATTTTCTTCTGTGCAGATATTGGGGATATATATTTTCCTAGAAAATTGTCAAGATTTTGATGATGTAAGGTCATATATAATATTTACTTATAAGTTCTAATCTCTTTTTGGATTTTTTTTCTTGTTCTTAATGTCTATGTCTTTTGTTTGTTTCTCATTAAGAATCGCCTATGCTTTGTCTATTTGATTTTTTTTTAAACCTGTGCTTGGTTTTATAGATTCACTTTTTAAAGTAATCTATTTCATTAATTTCTGCTTGCATCTTTCTTAATTCCTTTCTTCTCCTTTCTACCTACACTGCCTTCTAATTGCTTTATTTTCTGTGGCTACTTTCTTGCTTTCCTAGTGTTTTATTGGGTTAATAGAATTTTGTTTCATGTTTTTTTGTGTGGTTGGTCAGTTTTGTGTCCTCTTTCTTGTCTCATTAGTATTTATCTTCAAATTCAAGAATATATTTAATTGTATATTTTTCTACTGCACTCAAAGTTGCACAGCTTCTATATCCTTTCCTTAAACAAGACAAAAATCTCAGTAACTTTTGGTTCCTTCTGTCCCCCATACAACTTCCCCTCTTTGCCATCTTCCATATTGCAGTCATCTTGGATTTTAGATCTAGGCTATCATTAAGTCTTATTATTGTTTCTTTGTTCATAACTGCTTCTCATGTTTAATATGTTCCTCTTATGTCCTTAATTTTATTTTGCTGGAATACATCCTTTAGTAATTCTTTCAGAAAAGGTGACTAGTAACTTTCTGATTTCTTGTGCACCTGACAATGCCTTTATCTCACCTTTGCCTTTGAAGGAGAGTTTGCCAAGGTATAGAATTCTGGGTTCTAAATATTTCCTCTAGGAGTTTTGAAGTAATTGTGTCACTATACTCTTGATTATGATGTTGCTAATAAGAAATCTAATTTCAATCTATTGTAATCTGTTTTTCTTTTCTTTCTACAGCATTTAGTAGTTTCTCGTCATCCTGAGTATTCTAAAATGTCACCACAATCTGTTTTTATTCATCTTGCTTAGCACTCAGTGGGGCCTTTCAAATGAAAGCCATACGTCTTTCTTTAGTTCTCAGAATTTTGATTTTTGTTATTTCTTCAGCTATATACTTCCCTTTGTTCTCTCTGATCTCCCCTTCCAGAACTGCTAATAGATATATATTGGAACTTGTTCTGCCTTCTAGGTCCTTCACCTTTCCCTCTTCATTTTCCATTCTTTTTTTCCTTTCCAGTGCATCCTGGGAAAGTTCATGGCTCAGATTTCCAGCTCATCAGCTTACTCTTTAGCTGTGTCCATTCTGTTTTTCAGACCATCTGTTGAGCTTTTCATTTTCACAGCCATACATTTCATTTCCAAGATATCTATTTTTTATTTCATAATATTTTTTTATGAGTGAAAAATTCTCTTGTCTTTTGAGAACATTAATTATGCTTTAAAAATTATTTCCATCTATTTGCTTTATTAATTGTGTTTTTTTCCCCCCTGAGGTGTGATTTATTCTCTGTCGAGGCAGTGCCTTTTTTCATGGTGTTAGCCTTTTTTCTAAAATAATTTGAAATTCCTTGTATTTGCGGTTTTCCATTTGTTTGTCTCTATTTCTCTGTTTATTGCTACTTTGCCTTTTTGAGGGTTGGTGGCATAAGTGAGGGGTAGAAAGTGTGCAAGAGTTTGTTGCCTGACCTTGAGAGGTTTCAGTTTCTCCTGGAGGTCATCAGCTTTTTAGGCACTCTGACCACACCTGTCTCAAAACAGGTGAGTCCCATACCTGATTCTTGATACCAGCAGGGATGGGAATCTGGGTCCTACCTGTCGGGCTCCTTCCACTATGGTCCTCTGACAATAACCGCAGGCCCACGCAGGTCATTTCCCTGCTCAGAGTCCTTCAGTGGCTTCCCGCTGACTTCCTGGTAACACCCACGCCTTGCTTGGCAGGGTACCAGGCCTCCTTCTTTATCTTGACTCCTCCTCTTCCCACAGCCTCTGGGCCTGGTCTGACTGCACTCAGGCCCTTGTGAGATCGCTGCATACCATGGTCTATCTCACTGCCTTGTCTCTGCTCTCACTGCTCCCTCCACTGCTAATGCCACTCCCCTCATGGCCCCATGCGTTTGGTCAGCTGCCTCTTATCTTTTAGAACTCAGGTGGTCAGCTTTCTTAGGACCTGGGCTGGGTGCCCTGCTTTGTTTCTGTAGCTCCCTTGCTCATGATGTGGTTGTACTTATGACCTGTGTTCCTTCGGGTTGTAATCGTCTGCTGTCTTCTCCACCGGAGTGAGATTTCCCAGCAGGCGGGGGCAGTTTTTTCACTGATTCCACATGGAGTGTTTGATGGCTCTGACGATGTGAGGGTTTGGTAGCCAAAAGGGGTGGTATTGTCCCTTCCTCTTAGACCTGAACAGAGGATCTCAGTGGGACTCTTACCCAAGAGGACATGCCCCCAGGCTTGTGGAGGGGACTTTCGACCAGCAGTTGGCAGCTCAGGAGCAGCCGGTGCTGACATGACTGTTGTTCTCCCCACAGGCACTGGTGCCATCACACGGTAACACGGACGGTGTCCTGCCAGGTGCAGAACGGCTCGGAGACAGTGGTCCAGCGTGTGTACCAGAGCTGCCGGTGGCCCGGGCCCTGTGCCAACCTTGTGAGGTAAAGGCCGCAGGGCTGGCTGGCTCTGCCCTTCTTTTCTGCTCCCTTGGATGAATCCAGCCCCAGCACAGCTGTGGGGGGAGGTGGGTTGATGCTCAGAAACAAACGCCGAGCATGCATTTAGGGAGCACCTTCTGTGTATGGGGGGGTATGTGTGTGCAAAGATGAAAGGGAGTTGATCCCCACCCTGACAGAACCTCACAATCCAGTGGGCGTTTGATCAGCAGGAACTCACAATGGTCAGTGGGTAGGATAAGGAGATGGAAGGGGTGGGAGACGGCCAGGTGAGGCTGAAGATAAACCAGCCTGCTCTGGGGCTCCAGACTAGAATGTGGGTCTGTGATGCCCTCGAAAGTCCAGCCTGCCTCCAGCCCCATCTCTCTCATGGCTCTAGCCTCTCACGAACCCCACTCTGGACCCTAGCTTTCAGTGGCTCTCAGCATTCACAGGGAGAGATTTCTTTTTTCTTTAATTTTTAAAAATTAAAAATTTCTTAATTACAGTTGACATACAATATTATATTAGTTTCAGGTGTAAAACATATAAATCAGACATTTATATAACTTACAAAGTGGTTACCCCAATAAGTCTAGTACCCATCTGATGCCATACATAGTTATTACAGTGTTACTGACTATATGCCCCATGCTGTACTTTACATCCCCATGACTATTTTTATAACTGCCAATTTGTATCGTTTACCTTTTTCACCCTTATCTCCAAACCCCCTCCCATCTGGCAACCATCAATTTGTTCTCTGTATCCATGAGTTTGTTTCTGTTTTGTTTGTTTGTTTATTTTGTGTTTTAAATTCCACATATAAGTGAAATCATATGGTATTTGTTTTTCTCTGTCTGACTTATTTCACTTATCATAATACCCTCTAGGTCCATGTTGTCGCAAATGACAAAATTTCATTCTTTTTTTTATGGTTGAGTAATATTCCATTGTATATATATACACCATGTCTTCTTTATTCATTCGTCTGTTGATGGACACTTAGGTTGCTTCTATATCTTGGCTATTGTAAATAATGCTGCAGTGAACATAGGGGTGCATATATTCTTTTGAATTGGTGTTTTGGGTTTCTTTAGACAAATACCCAGAAGTGGAATCACTGGATCATATAGTAGTTCTATTTTTAATTTTTTGAGGAACCTCCATACTGTTTTCTATAGTGGCTGCAATAATTTACAATCTCATCAATAGTGGACAAGGGTTCCCTTTTCTTCACATCGTCACCAACACTTGTTTGTTGATTTATTGATAATAGCCATTTTGACAAGTGTGAGGTGATACCTCATTGTGGTTTTAATTTGCATCTCCCTGATGATGAGTGACGTTGAACATCTTTTCATATGTCTATTGGCCATCTGCATGTCTTCCTGTGAGAAATGTCTATTCAGGTTCTCTGCCCTTTTTAAATTGGATTGTTTGTGTTTTTGGTGTTGAATTTTATAAGTTCCTTATATATTTTGGATATTAACCCCTTATTAGATATATCATTGGTGAATATTTTCTCCCTTTCAGTAGGTTTCTTTTTGTCTTGCTTATGGTTTCCTTTGCTGTGCAAAAACTGTTTAGTTTGCTGTAGTCCTGTTTGTTTATTTTTTTCTTTTGTTTCCTTTGCCCGAGAATACATATAAAAAAAATATTGCTAAGAGTGATGTCAAAGAGTTTACTGCCTATGTTTTCTTCTGGGAGTTTCATGGTTTAGGGTCTTTCATTTAAATTTTTAATCCATTTTGAGTTTATTTTTGTATATAGTGTAACAAAGTGAATTTCATTCTTTTGCATGTATCTGTCCAGTTTTCCCAAGACCATTTATTGAAGAGACTGTTTTTACCCCATGGTATATTCTTGACTCCTTTGTTATAGATTAATTGACCATAATGGTGTAGACTTATTTCTGGGTTCTCTGTTGTTCCATTGATCTACATGTCTGTTTTCATGCCAGTACCTGGCTGTTCTTGTAATGCAGGCCACTGAGGACCAAGTCTGCAGTTCTGCCTCAGAACTCTGACTCCTGCCAGTCATGCTCCTTGCATGGGAGTAGCCAAACTTGTGCCTGGGAGGGTTCTGCTTGCTTAGAGCTCTGGATTTTCTGAGAGGAGCAGGGTCCCTACGCTTTGCCATCTGTGGAACCGTGAAAGATGGAATGGTACTTGGGCATGACCAGGAGCCTGCCTGCCCCCTGGGCCACAGAGCAGAGTTCTTAGGGCATGTGGCCTTTCCACCAAGAAAAGGAGAACCCTTGTCCTTTAGGGAAGCCACTCTGGCCTTCCTCTAGCCATACTCATCCTCATAGGGCAAGGCATCCATGGGGAATATGTCCATCTGGGCCCTGTGCCCCTCTTCTAGACCTGGGTACCTGGCTAAACAGCCCCAAGTGGTTTCTAGGCCTGCACTGGCCTCTCCCCTGAATGTAGGAGACTGTGCCTGTGGTGGGCACACTTCAAGCCCCAAGGGGCAGGCAAGGGGTGACTGTTTGCGAGAGTGGGAAGTGTAGATGGAGCTGGGACACGTGGGTTGGGTTCACACATGGTGTGTAGGTTGGAGCTGAGGGTAGGAAGAGAAGGAGTGGAGGTTGGGGTCTCACTTGATTTGATTGTAAAAATGATGACTGGACCCACCTCATGAAACTACTGGGGGGATTCAGTGCCTGTGCTATGGCGTTTCTAGGCCAGTGCCTGGCTTGTGTTAAGCCCTGAGAAGAGATTTGATTCTCTGAGAAGAGATACAATATTAAGTGAGCAAGCAGCGGCTGGTGAGAGAACGCCAGATCTAGTTTGCCACCTGAGTGATTGGGGCACCTGCCTCAGTGTCCTCCTGCCGCCCACCCCCACTCAGTGCAAAGCCTGGGCAAAGGCAGGAAGAAGTGCCAGCATTTCTGCATAGTTAGATTTGGGGATCAGGGTGGCCAAAATCCTTGGTGGGGCCTCTCTTTGCAGAGGGCTATGAAGTCATCTCATTTCATTCTGATGACATTTTTATGACAAAGTGTGCAGGTGGGTGAAGGGAGGGCGTGGTTGTAAAAATGTGAGTATAGCAGAATCCAGGCACATTGAAGCCTATTTGGAATGCACTAGGGCTGGCATGTGCCCTAAACCCCTCCCTGTGCCCTCACCTGCCCCCCCCAGGAGCCCTGTGTATACACTTTCCTTGCATTTATTCATTCACTCAGCCTTTTCAACAAATATTGAGAACATACTATGTGCTGGGGGCGGGCTGAATAGGATGGAGAATTACACCAAATCCTCTCTCTTTCACGGAATTTATATTCACCCAAATATGAAAACAAGAATAAATACCCCTCATAATGAGCACAGGAACTTCAAGCAGGGTGATGTGACTGAGCATGAATTGGGGCTACTTTAGAGGAGGTAGGAGAGAGACTCTTTGAAGAAATGACATTCATGCTGAGCAAAGAGCCTCCGTGTGAAGACTGGGTGAAGATAGTTAGTGCAAAGGCCCTGGGGCAGGGAGGTCCTGGATAAAGGAACAGAGAGAAGGTCAGTGTCCAGAAGCAGAACAGGAGAGGAAGAGAGTATAGGTAGAGCTTAAGTTTGAATTTTATTGTAAGCATATTGGAAAGCCATTGAGGGTTTTAAGTAGAGATGAGGAATGACCTGATTTAGGTGTTTGTTTTTAAATGAAACTTTTTATTTTGAGATAATTGTAAATTCACATGTAGTTGTAAGAAATAATACAGAGAGATCCCATGTCCTTTTTACTCTCTTCCTCTCAGTGATAACATCTTGCAAAACTATAGTGCAGTGTTGCAACCAGGATTGACAATGATGCAGTCAAGATACAGAGCATTTCCTTCCCCACAAGCACCCCTCATGTTGCCCTTTTATAGCCTTACCTACTTTTCTCCAACCCTAGCCCCTCCTCAACCTCTGGCAACCACTGATCTGCTCTCCACTTCTATAATTTGACATTTCAAGAATGGAATCGGACAGCATATAACCTTTACAATGCATCTGTTTACTCATCATTCTTTTCTGGACATTCACCCAAGCTTTTGGGTGTACCAGTAGTTATTCATGCCCTGGCCAAATGGCTCAGTCAGTTGGAGCATTGTCCTATACACCCAAAGGTTACGGGTTCGATTCCTGGTCAGGGCACATACGTAGGTTGCAGGTTGGTTTCCTGGTCTGGTCACGTGAGAGGCAGCCGATCGATGTTTCTCTCTCTAAAATCAATAATAAACAAACATATTCTTGGGTGAGGATTAAAAAAAAAATCTGTTCCTGCATTAAAAAAAAGTTATTTCTTTTTATTGCTGAGTAGTATTCCACAATATGGATGTACCACAGTTAATCATTCATCTGTTGAAAGATGAACTGTTTCCAGTTCGGCGCTCTTGGGAATAAAGCTGCTATAAACATTTGTGTATATTCAGGGTTTTGCGTAAACATAAGTTTTCATTTTTCTGGGTAAATGCCCAGGAGTGCAATTGTTGGGTCATATGGTAGTTGCATGTTTAGTTTTTTAAGAAACCGCCAAACTGTTTCCAGAGTGGCTGCACCATTTTACATTCCCACCAGCAATGTCTGAGTGATCCCGTTTCTCTGTGTCCCTGCCAGCATTTGGTGTTGTCATTGTGTTTTACTTTAGCCATTCTGTGTAGTCAGTTTCACTGTGGTTTTAATTTGTGTTTCCCTCATGGCTAATAATGTTGAAAATCTTTTCATGTGTTTATTTGCCAGCTGTATATCTTCTTCGATGAAATGTCTCTTCATGTTTTTTGCCCATTAAATGGGCCATCTTTTGCGCATTTAATTGCATTATTTGTGTTTTTACTGTTGAGTTTTGAGATTTTGTTATATGTTCTAGATATTAACTCATTGTTAGTTATTGGTTAGCACATACTTTCTTCCACTCTGTGGCTTGTCTTTTCGTCCCCTTGAGAGTCTTTTGCAGAACAAACGTTTTTAATTTTAATGAAGTCCAATTTATCAGTTTTTCCTTTTCTGGATTGTGCTGTTGTGTCA